ACGACCTACCAACATACCAAATATCATCACAATCCATAAAGGCGTTCTGAAGTTATGCTGACTACAAATGTGCGGAAACAGAGACACACAGACACAGACACACACACACACACACACACACACACACACAGACATACAGGCACACAGACACGCCAACAACAATACCTCCATTTTTCACGGAGGTAAAAATGACTGCAATTCACTGTTGAATTTCAAACGACCTTCATAATGGGCAGGAAAAAGCGCATGACCAAGTGTTATCAGCCCAGTCATTATGATTTACGTCATCACCAGCGGCACTGTAGTACCTGATTGCCCAATTCACGCCCTGTCCATCTGATAAATCTTAACGATATTACATGCCGGTATCAAGTCTCAGGCCATGTATCCACTAAGGCCAAAGCAAGTGATATTAATGGATGACACCCTCCGCAGGGTTTAGATTTAATGCAATGCAGGGTGAAGAAATCAAGCCGGCAAAAAATGATATCATTACTACCTTAATATGTTTACATTTTGACAAGATTGTTAAACAAAAATTGAGACGACAAAACCTAATATCACAACACGCATTTTTTTTATTCTGGTATTTTAAATAGTGTAACATTACCCTAAGACTTGTAGACGTATTTTTACCTCGAATTACAGGAACAGCTGTGGCAACAAGGTCTGTCGTACCATCATAGGTAGCTACTTCACGTGGTATCTAACCGGGTATTTTTATTGAAACTTTCCAAGTTACAGTATCGCAGTAGCCGTTGACAGGGTCACTGAATTGCACTGATCTTTTAGTTAGATTACTGTAACTACTAGTGCACAAAATCCAATAAAATCACCACATATGAGATAAGATATAACGTACAAGGTTAGAATATTACTATTACCATGATCTAGTAGGGATAGTCAACACTTCCCATCAAACGCGAGCAATTGTACCTCCCGTTTTCTGGATCCTTACATGTCTTACAATCGGTAGACGATTACAATATATTTGCCCATTTTCAGAATGTTGACCACCGTTGGAAGGCAACAAAAGCTATGTTTTTGATCAGATAAAAATTTCTATAAACTCTGAACTATATTGACCAAAGACAAAATATACTTTATATTTCTGTAATTTATCTATATATAGTTAAGGTTTCAGATGTGGATCCCATAGGCATTTATGCATGTATGTATATATGAAAAGTAATGCGAACATAGGTGTCATCCATGAAAATGACTTGCTGTGGCCTAATGGCATTCACGAAGACGACTGCCGGTCAGTGATTCAGAATGCGTTCGGCGGAGGGGACAACCTTTGGCGTTTATTGGGGCCATCTCATTAGTATGGACGGCGCCGGACCACTAGATATAGGTAATATGTCATTCCGGTCCTCAGGGGAGGAATGAGATTCCCCACCGCTGATAGATTGCGTAGATGGACGTTAGATTCAATCTGGGAGACCGCTGTTGTAACGGCGGGGACATTGGGACCACGCCCACTATCCATCAAGTCCCAATTTACGGAGAAAAGTTAAAAATATACAAGGTTTTCACACTTAATTTATTTATTTTCCGTCATTTGTACCCAGAGTAATGCTTAGGTTACATTTACCAAACCGCGGCCCGATTGGGCAGTCTTATGGAACGAAAAATATGGTATAATAACAAAGCACAAAAAAGTTATTAAAAAAAAGAGTTATTTGCGTATATTCCTGAAAAAAATGTTGATTTTACGTTAATCGAAGCAGCCCGACCGGGCCCCGGTTTGGAAATGTGACCTTAGCATAACCAACTGAATGGTAGCAGTGCTTTTCAGTGGGACCTTGAGTCATACATGTACATGCATAAACACGTTAAATGCAATTCATTGTTCTTCGCATTAAAAAAATATTTGAATTAATATTAATTTCTGTTCTTTTTCTAAGGATAGACGCTTGCAGTGTTTCCTAAGGTTATATCTGAAATGCTATTTATAATTCGAAATTGCGCTCTCCTCTGCGTTTTCAAAAGGTGTTCCACAGCCTATGAAAAGTTGTTACAATGTAAACATTAGCCTATCGACAGTTGTATGTATTAAAAAAAAAGAAAATTCAAAATTGCTTTTCGTAATCGCAGTAGTTTGTATGTTACTGTGACAACTAATATTCCCGATGTGAAATTGACCAGTTAAAAGACTATTAGGTATCTTTATTAATATTACCTACTATCTGGTTGAACAAAAATCATGTGTTTCTCTTTTTTTTCTTTTTACATATGTTATGTGTGTATGTCAACCAAAAATAAATTTGATTCGATTTAACGCAACCAGAAATAGATTTGATTTGATTCATTGAAATTGCAACAGCGCAATACACGTGTAACAAATGCAGCTGTTGCTGGTGTTGTGTCTCACACATAGATATAAATACAGGACAGATAATACTCATTTTCACCCGAGTTAAGCCGTGTTAAGTGCCTTTCCGAAGGGCACAACAAGATCGGTGGCATGTCAGGACTCGAACTCAGAACCTTGAGCACTCTGCCGTAGCGCCACACGACCTCACTATGCAAATGGAACTTCATGCCATATATTTAAGTTGGACGTGCAACAGCAAATCTTTATCTGATGCGGTACACCGTGTTCTGTGTAGCAAACCAGCCTCTGTGTCACAGAGATATGTCCGTGTAGATATGTTTTATACGTCAGACCATTCCCTTGGGGGAAATATGATTCCCCAACATCGAGTTGCGAGATAGATGACAATTTTTGATACTAAGAGGTTTCTATATTATTTTTTTTATATTTTCCAACTGTGAACATGTAATCACAAGACGTGTTGACGGCACACTCATACAGGAGACAATACAATACTGATTTTCACCTGAGTGAAGTTAGGAAAGTCGTGTAAAGTGCCTTTCACAAGGGCACAAGATCGGTGGCATGTTAGGACTCGAACCTAGGATCTCTAGGTTCAGAGTTGAGCACTCTGCCACCACGCCACACGACCCCACTGAGTATCACGTATGAAAAAATTGCCGGGAGGACGGGGGGAAATAAAAAGTACAACCATCCCGCCATAAACGCAAATGCTACCAACAAGACCATAAAGACACACCATGTCGGTTGTCCTTTGAAGTTCTGAATCTTTCAACTTGTATTATATTGAGAGTCAATAAAAAGAATTGAGCATTAGGACGGCAAAAAGTTACTGCCATATTATGATAATGACGTCATTCAGGCCGCAAATTGTTAACGTCACACTATTCTTAATTCTCTGTAATAAAATGAAATTAAAATAAGCAACGAATCTTAGATTGAACAAATGACGCTACTTTGGCTTGGGCAGCATCACAATAGACTTTCATAGTCATGGCGTCATCTTTGCGAGGAGGAAATATATACGTTACCTTGTTGTTTTTTTTTATTCAATAACTAATGAAATACTGATTTTCCGGGCAAGAATAAAATGTATAACCCCCAGGTATTTCATTACAATAGATTCTATACTTTATCAAAACCTAGTAAATGTGATTTAATTGTAATATTTGTAATCTTTGACGTTTCAATTTGTCTTTTGCCACTTGCATCAAGACTTACCATGCAATGGCAATTGATAAAGACAACTATCTTGAATGAAATATACTATATATATATTAGTATAGAAGTACCGTGAAACAAAGAACCGTTCTAAACCCAAATGTAGCCGGCATTGTACATAGTGCAATACCTTAGTGAAAATCATTAGTTGACTAGGTTTAGTTCTATGGTTGTTTAAAAACATGGCTCTGGTAAATGTGCAGTATTAGGTATACCTTGTAGTCCTTTGTACATAGTATACATTGCAATCATAATTATACAAACAGTATCATTTGTATACAATATACAGTATCACAAGCACATACAATTGCAAACTCAGACGGTTATAATTCACATGAATAGCTGTTTCAATATTACAGTTTAGCATAGTTGACTTTCAATTAAAGTAATAGCATTAATCCAGTATAGCAAATAGCGCAATTGAGATCTTGGTCTGGTTAAAAACCTACCTCCACATCAACTGTATTTTTTAGGTCTATGATTTTGGATTTTATACAAAATAAGCATAGATGAAATAGGAATCTACGATATGAAAATATGTTCGAAGGTTGACAATGTTCTCCTATAGGCCGTTTCTACAAAAATAAACATAGCCGTAGGAAGAAATAGAAAAAAAAACAACAGTTGATGAACAAAAAGTATTAATTATAAAAGTAATAATTATAAAAGTTTCAATTTTAAAATCCTAAAAATAGTGACCATTTCAAAATTGTGAGTCTCATTTTAATGTGTGTAGTATATAAGTCGAAAAATCATATTGTCCCTTTAAATATATTATTGGTAAAAATCAACATGACAATGGCCGGGTAAAACAAACAAACAAACAAACAAACAAACAATAATTAATTGCCTGGTTTGGATGAATAGAATCAAAGCTAATGCTGTTTTCACTCCATGTATTGCTTAAAACATGCCCCACCCCAACCCTACTGTTAAATCTATGTCCCCACTCCCCAATTCTGCACATGAAAATCGTTATAAGCATTGACTTGAATAACAAATCAACAAATTGTGATTATACATTTACAGAATGCGGTCTGTTATACGCCTCACCACATTAGATACGACTTCCAATGATACAATTTCGCCATTCCCACGGGTGTGATAAAGAGTCAACTAATTACTCACTGTCCGTCAAAACTGACCATCTAAATTCCGTCCCCTCGCTGACCGCCATATACAACCCCTGCACAGTAGCGGCGTTTGCAATAGTGGCCCGGTCGAGCATTTAATCTAATATCGTATTCCGTCACCAAAATGTTGCCCTAGGGCCAAACGGCGTATATGCATATCGAATTTCTATGCGGGGACATATCCGTCTCACCCGTTGAAGAAACCTCCCAATTGTAGCCATTCATCTATGTCAGGCCATGGGAGGGGCGCGCCCATGTCATGACGTCATCTTTTCTCCCAGATTCCCTTGCGCCCGCAGTACGGAACCAAGATGGAGTCGGAGCCGGGAGAGCAGGTGAAAGTGGCCGTCCTGGCCAGCGGGGCCTTCAATCCTATAACTAATCTCCACCTTCGGATGTTCGGTAAGTGGGCTTTCCATAGCTTCAGACTCGCGTGCTTTCGGGAGGTGCTTTTTACCGTGAAAATACGATGAAAAATGGCCGTGAATGGGACATCAGGGAAGGGGAAGATGGGAGGAGGTTGGACCGCTAACACTGCTATTAGCATTACCCTCCATACGTGCACTAGCAGATAATGGTATGTCGATAGCAGGCCCCTGTTTTACCGCCCGCTGTACGTATTCAGGAAGGAAAGGTATCTTACATCTCGGAAATTTGAACACTAGATTTCCCTTTAAATTCTAGTAAATACACTTGCAATGACTGAATTCAAATATGATCCTCACCATTTCATTTTTGAACCAAACCACCCGAAAATCTTCCAGTGTTTCAGGACAGAGATGTTTGGTATTGAACATCGCTACAGATATTCCATATCTCCGTTTTTCATACACCATCGTTTTGTTATAGATATAGGCCTGAACCAATTTATGGTTCAGCAAGGCATAATTGATTATTGATATCCTGATTTGAGAAAGATTATGCGAAACGGCCGTGTTTGTTACGGCAGTGTAGCGATGTCACGGAATCTATCTACGAATGGCAACGCCTTCATGTGAATAGCGCGATCATCAATAGCAGTGAACGCTGTTAAACAGAACTGGCTCATGTCCCCAGGGGTAATTACATACAAAGCTAAACATTGCGCGTGCCCTTTTTCTATACAGTTCGCTGGGCAAAGAGCGTTGGATCGAACCCGGTATATCTATGTCATTTGCCCGGTGGCGTTATGGTTTGTAACCTTGTGCTCCGTTTTTTATCAAAAATAATGGAATAATATCTGGAATACGTAACCGTTGTCGGATCTTACAGACCCATTCAATATGTCGTTTCGTATTTACAATATTACCATACAGTGTCATATTTTAGATACAGACACATATATACTTATTGTCATAGTGCTTTAGTACCTATAGTGTTTTTAGAATAATATCTCAACAGGTCAAAACTGGAGAAGCTGACAAATTATAAATATTTTAAACCACGGTATTCATCCAGAAACCATCAATGTCGTTTGTTTAAAAAATTATTATTTTTTGTTTAAAAAATTAACAAAAATGTAGGTATTGTGAGTCTCTATAAGTGTTTAAGCTACGTTCTTAGTCATTCATTTATAGTGTATATTGACTCATGCGACAGCGTGCCCAAAGGAAGAGCCTATTCATGTACTATAAATCACCATGGACAATGGTCCCTTTGCAACGCTCCAGTTCTCTCCCTTCGTCCTCATTTATGTTATCCACTGGGAAGACACAGGGCCAAATTATCGATCACTACTGTCCAGTGTCAGTTACCTCACGCCCGGCTGGATTCTGCTGCAGGAAATGGTTATTTATGTAGTACGTTACGCTTTGTGAAAATATCGCCATTGACACAACGCTTGTTCCTCAACTACCACCAAAATTGTGCAAAATACAAAACTCAATACATTTTCTGACCAATCGAAATTTAAAATGCTAATGTAGCATTGTTGGCTAGGCTAGGTTCTGCTGCAGAAAATGGTTATTTATGTACAGTGTACAAAATACTTTTTTGAACCAGGTTGCCCAGTGTAATGTTACATACATATAAGCCTTCGTCAATATTTCTAACGGCCTTTAATTAACTGATACGAGTAATAATAGCCATTAATACCTAAATTAAAAAAAAAAAAACATCTGCCGGATACAGCCAAGCCAAGTGGACATTGGGGGGGGGGGGGCTTTTTAAAAATTCAGGTAGCACACTGGGCTACCTAGGTTCAAAAATAGGTTGCCCCAAGTAAAAATTTGGTTGCCCGGGGCCCAGGTATTTTGCACGCTGATTTAGTACGTTACGTTTTATGAAAATACACCAACAGTGACACAACGCTTGTTCCTCATAACTGTCAACAAAATTGTACTAACTTCAAAAACATTTGCGGGCCAATCAAAAGTTAAAATGCCAATGTAGCTGGTTGAATAAATATTTTGTTGTCAACACCAGTTCATTTAGTATAACGATAGTGTGTTGAAGTATTATATATTATACATTCAATCTTTGTCAAATTGTTGTTATGCCTCCGGATGTCCTGTTGTTGAATCATATATACACAATATATATACTTTTGAACACCCTACATTCATAAATTCGGATATTTCTCACATAAGTCAAGCTAGTCATTAAAAGACATTGATAAATTGAAACGGTGACTATATTGCAGAGTGAAGTTTTTTTCTAGAAAAATGGTAAATTAAATACCATATAAAATCTATAATGACGTCAATGGCTAAACACATGCTTTCTTTTTATTTCATGGAATGACAACAGACTTATAAATAAATATAACAGTAATGTTACCAGTATCGCCACGACACAAATATACACGATACATGCACCTTTCCTTCGTAAAAGTAGCATCGTATAGCCCGTATATTGTTAAAAGATACTCGTTTTAAACATGTAACGAGGGCGTGAAATCAACACAATGAGCGTTACAATCGATTTTGAACTGGTCCAGTAAATACATTTGATTGGTTGCTGCAACATGAGTCATGCATACATTTTATCATGACATCCAACGATTATGCAATACTTCATAATCCAATCAGATTTTCGATTTCGGTCGAATGTTTCGCTCAATTTAACGAACATTTACGTTGTGCTTTGTAAAGGTATTAGATTATGTAAGATGTACATGCCTTAGTCGTATTTTATATTACACTGCATTGTGTTCCCGTTGTATGAAAATATTACATGACAAATATATCATTTCATTTAGTTTAGTAAAAATGATAAATTTCCGCTAGGTGTAATTTGATAATAGATATTGCGAATGCCAAACTAAAATACCAACTATCCAAAATGAATACCAGTATAAACTACAATTAATTCCAAATTGAAACACCTACTATCCAAAAATAAAGACCTGTATGAACTATAATTGAAGACCTGTAAGACTATAATTGAAATAATGAATGCGTTTTTGTAATTCCTAATATTACGCTTACAAACCAGAGAAATTACAATGGTAGTATATCATTATATATTATGTCTACATTGTATCATGTTATCACAATAATGTTTGCATGATTAAAGAAAATAAAGATAATATCCCTTTGTTAGCAAACCTTGTTAGCTTGTCTTCATTTTTATAGATTGTGCTATTTCATATTCGTATTTTCTTATGTCACAACACCAGCAACATGACTTTGATTATATAAATTTGTAATCTTCATAAAAACATCATTCATAACATTATCGTTGTCACGAAAGAACAACTGTTTGGGGTCCATTGAATCATATGGTTGAAAACATATTGGTGATGTACGTGTGTCTAGTGTGAAATTTGGTTATACAAGCTTGAGGCATTCAAGGATTAGAAAAAAAACTTCAGTTGAGATGTGTTTTATACAGATGCTATCAACCTTTCTGTATGTGCATCGGCATTTCGGGGCACATGGCATCCAACTGCTTTGCATAGATATGGTATAATCTATAGGCGTTTACAGATGAGAATACAAAGTCGACAATCTGATATCATTTTTATGCATTCGCATTCGATATCTTTGGTAAATTAGCCATTTCATCACATAATTCGTGTTGATATTATCTTCTCATTATCTTTATCTTTCTCACATTAATAACGATAATCCGGTGGTGTTTTTGTTTCATTACTGTGACCTTTTTATCACAATGTCAAATCTATACTACTTGTTATGCCACAGCTCTCGCTTGAATTTAAGAGCATCGGAAAGATCATCATCTACAAAAGACGTGTACAGAAATGGAATCCTTACATGCCTGTCCTCAGGCTTCCGCTTTATCTGGAAATAACATACCGTCATCGCTTATCTTTTTGGCGGCATGAGGCGATTTCGCAAGCTATTGTCAAATGGTGCAGAGGTGAAACTTTATCGCATTGGAACATGTCAGTTGGTGACTATTCAATACAGTAAAACATAGTATCAATTTACATATCTTAACATGTCGATATTTTGATAGGCAATCGTTTGCATCTTTTTAAAAATCTTACATAACGTTTGAATTGTATATTTCCAGGGCTCGAAATACTGGGTGCATGTGCACTTTATTGCACTCAAAATTGGAGCTGTTCACCCAATTCTTTTCTGTGGGTGCACTGGCGCACCCAAATATTTTTGTTGGTATTTTTGTACTAAATAATAGTATGCAGGATATCCTTGACATCTAAGCGTCAGAAAAAAAAAAAACGTCTTTGTTGTAGTTCTTGTGTAAGATTTTGAAGTTAGCTCCCATTTCAGAATCAAGCTTGAAAAAGCAGCATTAAGATCTGTAATTATATTTTGTTTTATATGGTGCACCCAAAAAAAATTGTGCACCTCATTTATTCAGGTTAGGTGCACCAGTGCACCTTTTCCCAAAATGAATTTTGAGCCCTGTTTATTTCTCAATCTGTTAATTTGCTCTAAAGACTCCTTTACTGTTCTTGAGCTCCTACAGTACCTGTTCATAAAATTAAAGATAGTACCGATGCCTGGATTTAAGGATAAGGCCACAGCAAGTAAATTTTATGGATGGCATCCTCCACAGACTACAAATGCGACCGGGCGAAAAAACAAGGCGGGCCGAAAAAAAGCAAGGTTCCTACATTTTAAAATTTTGACTCAATCATTTTACAAATGGTTTTTATTCATTGGAAACATCACATATACACAGCCAGCATCATTTTTCACTGCATCAAAGTAAGAAACAAAACATTAAATCAAAGCCTTTTCTTGTCTCCTCTCTTTATAGTTATCTTCCATCCACCTTCCAGCATGGCAACATACATCTTTGCCCATTTTCGACATGTTGACCACTGTCAAAAGGCAACACTTTTTTCCAAAATTAGGCGAAAATCAATGCGCGCGCTGATATCATCCATAAAAAATACTTGCTGTGGTCTAAGACATATACTGAACATTGCCGGTAGCCAAGATTTTTCTGTTATCTTTTCTTTGTACGCATTCAGATCAGAAAGTTGA